ATGAGGTTAGTCGTGATAAGTTCTTATCAAGCATTACGAATATCTATAGATTGCTGTTAAGTGTCTGGAATGGAATGAACGAAGATTGTTCTTCTAGAAGTAAATAATTGTGTGTGATTGTAAAAAGTTTTAGATTGTCACAGGGGAGTGTCACTTGAAAGAATGTATCGCGAGTGGTCAGCCATTACATGTTGTATATTCGATTGCACCGAAAGGTCGTTTCCATCTGGGATTCGTAAAAGCATTGCTTAAATTAAGGGTACGTTGCTTTTGGAAAACACTTCCATTTCTCAGTTTTATTACGGCTCCTTATTTTTTATGTTGAATTTCAAAGTTTTCAATTTTAATCTCAATTATTGATAGTAACCCGGCCGAAGTTGGCTTAGATTTCAATGGAATTATGCATTATGACAGTTCTTTGGTAATTTGTGAAGGTCGGAATTGTGAATATGAGATTCCGACATTCCGACAGGATTAATTTCTCATTCGGATAAAAAATTAGAATCTCTGTTTTATTTGGGATCGCGTGGCGCGTTGGGTTTTTTTCTTTTTTATAAGAGAGATTATTAATATATATTTGTTGTTAAAGGACCTGCAACGTTTAATGAAAGTGTCGTTGACGATAGTTATAAGTGATCTTGATGCCTTCTTGGATAACGAGAAATGTCCATGGAATGTTCGAGAGGTGAGGTGTGACTACTATGAGGCGATGCTGAAGCAGTGCCTGAAACAACTTGAAATCAACGACGTGAAGATTATTCGTGGAAATGCGCACCAAATTGAACCGTAAGCAGTTGACTTTGATCGATTTTATTCACCTATTATACCTTTGTGCTTCATCTCGAGAGCACATTGCATTAGACGATTGCTAACGGAGAACGCTAAAGGTTTTTTAAATGAATGTACCACTGACAAGTGAGAAAATATTGCTGGATTTATGCGGAATCAGTTGAGGGTTTCAGCGAATACACATTAGAAATGTACAAAATGGCATCAAAGGTGACACGCGACGATGCGACTTTGTTAGAGGGGACATCATTAGGCACTCTGCTTTGTCCACTCTATTACGCAATCGACCAGTATTGGTTGAAAGCTGACTTGGTTGTTGTGGGAGAAGATATGCGCAAATTTGCTCAGCTAGCGGCTCAAGTAAGTACTGAATGTTGGTGTTTGATGGTGTTTTCTTATTTACGAGTTTGAAGTTTTATCCGTAATACTTAAATATATTGTTTGGAATTTGTTTTTGAATGTTTGTTTATTCAATTTTGACTGTAATATATTCAGATATTTACATAAAATCAGCATCTCGGAAATTATTTATTTTTTTATTTTGAATTTCATATTTTAGGTGCATTTTTTGAAAAGCCATAGAATATAGCTGATCTGTTTTGTGACATTTTATTGATATTAAGTTTTTAGATGCCTATTATTTCATGTTTATTGTTAGATGATCGAGCGTCAAGGTGAGAAGCCACGAGCACAGTTGTTGATCACTGATGTACTACCATCAATGAATGGTGTTGGTAAAATGTCTGCGTCTGATGCAGAATTTCATTTGGATCCGTTCGATACGCCAAAGCAAACGAAGCAAAAAATAGCTCGAAGTTTCTGTGAGCCATGCAACGTCAACGGGAATATCGCATTGCAATTGGCGAAGCTGTTCATATTCCCACTGAGTGAACATGGTGAAGGTGAGTGAATAAGTTGATCAGTCATTTGCAAGAGTATTTGTAGATGGTTTTATGGTATGCAAGAGGGGTTTGTGGTTGTATTCAGTGGTATGTTTAGTGTATGGCATATGATTGAGAGTAACTGATTCAAGTTGAGCAGTTTCATGGTTTGTATGTGTATAAAAGTATTGTGGTTTGTAGTTGGTTCTTTGTAAAGTCACTTCATGGTGATATTAATGAAAGTTTCCATTTAGTCGTTGCAATTTCACCGATGAAATGATGATGACGAAAGATTATTTCAGCGTTGCACATCGAACGTTCGGCCGAGAATGGTGGTGATCTAACGGTGAGCAATTATGCGGAACTCGAGAAATTATTCGTGGATGGCTCTTTGCATCCGGGCGATTTGAAATCCGCAGTTGCCAAGTCAATCAATGCATTTTTCGAGCCAATTCGCAAAGAATTTGCGAGCAAACAAGCAAAAATGCTCTCAGCGGCATTCCCGACTGTCAAAGGAGGTGCTAAAAGCAATGGTGCAACACAGCAAAAGAAGTGATTGAAAATTTTCGTGAATGGGGGTGGTGTAAAGGAGGAAAATAATTAATGAAAAATGAGTTTGCACGAGGTGAAAATTTTATTGAATGTGCAAGAATTGAGAGAATATTAATATATCCGAGTGTTTTTGTGTGAATGTGATTCGTGAAGTAATTGTTTGTTGGTGGTTTTTAGTATTTATTTATTGGTTCATCGATATTTTTAAAAAATTTGTTTTGGTTGTTCGGCTTTCATAAGTTTTTACCGTGATGTGATGTCTTACATTTGCTGATAATTCTTAATTCATGATATTTTTAATGATATCGGGTGTCTGTCTGCTTTTATAAGGTGTTTGCCAAAGAGTGCATATTCTTTCCTGTGCGTATAAATTGATAGAGCAATCATTCAAGAAAACGATCCAGCATTGTGCGCTTTCGATGAAATTCCACAGTTAGTGGACTAAATCCATGTTGCAACCTTGACTATTTCTTCAGTTAATCTCATTATCACCTATTGTTTTCCATTACACCTGATGATTCTGTCTGTCTCAGAATCACCATGTCTGCGGCATTGTGTGGTTATGAATAATATGGAAGTGTTGCAATAGTCTGATATATTTATTTATTCAATTCACTCGCTTGTTGTCCATTCTTAACGTTGTTAAATTCTGTTGGGATCTAATGTCGTCTTCTGGTTACGCAATAAATTATAACTGTTGTTGCTGTTATTGTTAAAAAATTACATTGGACAGAAGCAATAGGATTTATGAATGTAATAAGAATTAAATAATTACATATTAGCAAAACAACTGTAAAACAAAATGAAACGACCAAACAAGGTGTATGTATAAAAGCAGAAATATCTGTAAATCTTTTTGCACTTACAGTCCGAATGCACAAATATGAGAATATGAATACAGAATACGAAAGCACACATTTAATAGGTAATCTATCATGTTAGTACAGTATTGCCAATATACTGTATAAAGTATCAACAATACTGTAGTGGTCCATCTGTATTAGTGCAAAAAGTAACGATTGAATACAGCACAAAAGTGATAAAGAGCTTGGAAAATGAGCGATTCTGCGGAATAATTCGTTATTGACAAATATTTCAAGTAGTTCTTTCTTGAATATCGTAAAGCCTAAGCTCGTATGTTTTTTTAGAAAGGCGAACACCTAGTGTTATGAATAGAGACGAGAGGGATTTTACAGGAGACGAGGAGTTTTTACGGTAACTGGGATTGCTTCTTGCTAGATCTTGAGCAACAACGACAGGATAACACATAACTACGGCATAACACAACCATGGTGATAGCCCGAAATGATATAATACTTCGGCAAAGTTATTTCGCTAATTGTTGATTTAAGATTTTTAGTATCGGTTCGATTCTACACTTGAATATATAGAAAGATTCAAGACAGCAAAATGCTATGAATTCATTTAATATAGTGAGAAGAGCGATTGGACACCGGTGGAACCGCTGAGCAATGTATGTTGATGGCTATTGTGATCGTTTGAGATAGCGTTGAGCAGATGGGATCTACATTGGGCAAATACAATGAATGCGCTAACTGTTATCGATAAATCAGCAGCATGTGCTTCTAATTAATTCAACAAGAACAAGCAGCTCTAATGTGTGATATAGAAACAAAAAGTGACAACTTAACAAAAAACAATTGTGTACAATAGGCAGTATTATATAGGATAATGATCGGCAGTCCTTTATATCTGATGTATAAAATGGCAGGCAGTATTTCGTAAAACGAAGACGACGACCCAATATGAAAGATAACTGATAAGATCACAGCGACACAAGGAACGTACACTCAATCGTACAATTTCAAGAACACAATGGAAA